GGGCCCATCTATAGGGTGTTGCACAGGTGTGTGCGCGTGTCTGTGTGTTATGCTGGGAGAAATGCGGCGCCTTGCGCCACAGCCAGGTACCATCTTGAACTGTTTCAAAAAAAGCCGCTGCCTGAGTGTTTTTTTGCAGCTCGCACCTGCTTCCACGCGTCAGGCAATCCGAGTAGCCATCTCTGCAACAAGCGCTTTTCGGCGCTTCTGGCATCACTGAGCTTCAAAACCTTCACTAACTTCTTTAGCCCATCCTCATCCATCCAAGTGGCGAAGTAGTGCGGATTTTTCCGCGTCTCTTGTCGCGCCAGATGGTGCAAAAGGTGCAGTTTGGGCCGCACTTTGTACAAACGCACTTGATCCCTAGCAGCTTTCTTTGCCAAGGCGCAATACGCTTGCGTGAAAATCTTGCCAGCTTCCTTCACGTTGGCGTGCTCAGCTGGGCTCAACCACCTTCCTGCGTTCGTCCAGATGCTCAAGAAATGGTTGGAGGCCCAAAGGCAAGCAATGAGGTCAGCAGGTAGCGACTCAGGGAAAGTGTGTAACTCGTTCATTACCCACTGGTGGACCACAAACGTATCATAGCCAGAACTCTTAAGCTCTGGATAGCATCGCTGTTTCCAATTCAGTTTGTTCTTGGTCAACTTCTTCAGCCGGAGCGAGTATCCAGAAGAACTTGCAAAGCGACGCAAACGGTTTGTGGCTTCCATAAGCTTGTTCATCGCGGACCCTGGCCCAAACACGCCGTTGCTCAACATAATGGCTAGACTTGAACCCAACACATCCCGGCCGACACCAAGATGCCAAACATGCAGCAGATCGGGCACGATGGCGCTGATTTCGAAGCCCGGCAGCGTGGCGTAAGCAGGCAAATACTTCCAGGGGCACTGCGTATGGAGATCTGCCCAAAATCTGGCACACCCACGGGTGTCTGTGAAAGCACAAGCAACATCGGCCACATCGTGCGAGCCCTTGGTGGCTGAGCACTTCCAGCAAACCTGCAGGAGGGAGCAATTCTTGATGCCCTGACGCCTGACAACGAAGCTTAAAAGCCCCAGCCCTACATAAGGCGGCCACCCGCGCCTCGTCACGGTCTGCGTACCTATCAAAATTAAAGACTTGCTTGAGCGCCTTCCAGTCGCCCCGGAACCCGGCAACGTAGAAGAATAGCCTGGCAACCTGAACTTAGTTTTTCATGAACTCACATGTTGGGAGCAGTTTTTCTGTGTTTTAAGGCGGCGAAGCCACATCCATCAACAACACTTGGATGTTCATCACATTCAGCGGTGATCTTTGTGGGTGTCTTACAAACTCGCTGACATCCAGGCTTCTATGCTGTATCCTTCCTGTGGACCGTTACGCAATCACTTCGGAACAAATCAACCTAACGGTCCAGGCAGCGTGCTGGGAGATTGTGCAGTCGTTCAAAAAGCTGGGAGAGGATGGCCTGGTAATTCAGGATCTGCCTTCAATGGGAGGTGGGCCTGTGCCTTTCCGGCAATTGTTTGCTTCGTTTAGCATGACCCTAACCCTAACCTTAACCCTTATAAGATGTTAAGATATACAAGCGCCACGTAGCAGTAGAGGGTACAGGGAATAGAGATCCCTGAGTTCTCAGCAGCAGCAGCAGGGTGAGCCCGATGCTCTTGACAGTACTCGGCCCAGTACTTTGGAACCATATCCCAGTCCTCCACCAGCATATCAAGGTGGCCTGCTTTGGCCATCGCTGAAACCTGCAGGGCTTTGGATTCGCGATATTTCGCTGTTTGAATTTGGAGGTGTGAAAAAAGGTTTGCGTTTTGCGCAGACCACTATACATGATGCGACCGAAAGATTACTTGCGAGGCCCCAAGCCAGCTACAATATTGCACGGAAGAATCATCGGCCAATCTTCCCAGACCACATTCCCCTCCACTAGCATAGGCAGCTTCACATAGGAAACATCGCACTTCAGCGATAAACTCAATTTGGCCGCTCGCTCATGAAGCCCCTTTTCATTCCCATTCCTTGGCTAAGGGCTGCGGGAAATGCACAAATACAGGAAAGGGACAAAAATGCACACAGAATTAAAACACTCCTTGTCAGTTTAGCCTCGCCAGCAGAGAACTCTCGAAAATTTGGCCAACCGTCGCAGCATGTCTGACACTTGTGTAACCCCGACCAATCGCGCTAGCCAGCCTTGGATCAGCGCCCCCCATTGACACCGTGAGTTTCCACCTGCTGGGTTACACTACACTTGTTGTAACGCACCAAGCCCCAAGGAAAATTGTTTCCACTCACTCAGGCCAGGAGTCGCGGCATCTAGTTCTTCTCGCAAGCTGGCTACTCCAGATGCACCTGCGGAAGGGGGGTCAGGAATTTGCAGGGACACATGCAGTACGATAAGTAGTTCAGAACGCACGTCACGAGAAGGGAGCCAAATTTTCTCGCCGACGACACACAGCGCTGTGCGATCTAAGTCGGACATCATTGTTGAAATGTGGCGGAGCAGCGGTGTGACCTGCAATTGTTTGCAGCTCCTCACTGCCCCAAGGATTCCTACCATTCAAACACAGGACTCCTGCAACAGGGCTGGCCACATACCCAGACCTTCCGTTGTTCTAGCGCCCCACGTGCAGCCTATGAGACGCAGAGTCCCACGCCAGAATGACAGCTACGGATCACAACTGCAGCCATGGCTGCCCAATGGCCGCGCATGTACCAAAACTGATTGTTCGCAGGAAGGGCCAGCAATTAGCCTGCCTGTGTTTTGCCGGTAAGTTACAGCTAGCCACCAAGGATTCGCGCTGAAGATTAAGGAGCTGGGCCATTCCCAGAAGAATCAGGATACCCCACACAGTCCACCATCCGGACTGCTAAAGCCGCAATCAGCTCTCAGCTTTCTCAGCGTTCTTGCGAAGCTCAGCAGCAACAGCTCGCGCCTGCGCTCTGGCCAGGCTTGCTTGCTGAACCTCAGAATTGTCTGGCGCGCGCGGGGCCAACAAAGGTTTGGAGATCATTGCATGGCAAGCCAACATAATCAAGGGGCCAAAGATGCGCACTCAGCCGAAAAGTCCTCAATGTCCTCTTCGGAGACATTTCTCAGCCTGACGCCGCCAACAAGACATGAGCCATGCTGCTTAGAAAACAAATCCTGATTGGACGTGAGCTTACAAAACATGTGGAATCACTGGGCTTTGTACTTATCCAGCTTGCCCTCCAACTCCAGCTTCAAACCCTCCACAGTGGTTCGCAAGCTGTGCTCCGGGGGCAGCTCGTAACAGATCGAGCACGCATTGTGCTCCTTCTTCAGCTCCTTTCCTTGCTAAAACTGACGTTAAGCGTGCTCGGCAGACACAGTTCAACTAATTTGCATGAAAGCCACGGCGCTCATCCTTGATCTCTTTGATGGTCTTAGGCTGGGCGAGAGCTGCCTTTGGCTTTGCCTTCGCCTTCCCCTTACCCTTGGGGGCAGCGCCTGAGCTGCCCACAAATGATGGTCAGGAATGCGGATTTCTGCAAAAACGATTGTCGCCACTTCTCCTATTCAAAGGCGTCTGTTTCGCGAAAGTTCTAATAGATCTGGAAGTTGAGACAGCCGTGTATGTCCACAGAATGACTTGCGTGGCATTTGGAGACCCTGGAAACCTTCAAGAAATCCCTGGAAGACTACGAAATAATCATGTTTCATCACAAAAGAGAACTGACTTTTGGCAATGTCTGGCCCACCAAGTTCAAGAAAGTCAGATGTTTGCACAACGGTTTCCAAACATGCCAGGGAATGTCTTCAGCTCTTGACTCGGGCTTAAACCCTCCCAAAACCCTCCAAACCTACCCTAAAACCAGGAGGCGTTGAGCTGCTAGTTCTTTTGAACAATTTTGTGGGGAAATAAATGAATCAAGCGGCTTCCGATGCCAGCAGCGCCAGCACCACCACTGCGCAGGCCTGCGGCCAAGCCCAAAATGGCATCTGTCCCGTCAGCAGCCAACGTCCGACCAGAAGGGGCCGCCAGCCCCGAAGTCAAGGATAGCAAGCTTCCCACACTCTCCGGTGTGGTCGCAACCCCGATGCGGGCTTCGCCCGTTTGGCTAACCATCTCCTTCTGGGTGATGTCCCGCTTCTTGGAGATGAGGTAGACAATGGATTCCAAGCACTCAAAGCAGTCCGGATCGGGAGTGCCTCCGCGCCGCACAATGCAATGACTCACAACATTACACAAGCGGACTCTCAACTAATGAAGCCATATGTCGCTGAGAATTTTCTGTCGATCATGTCCTGGAGCGTGACTTCCTCCTGGCCAGCAGCCAGCTCGGAACTTGTAGTCTTCTGGAGCACGAGCATGGACTCAGTGTTCTTCAAGTTCTGGCCATTTTGCAGCCATTTTTTGAACAAGGCATTCTTCTCCTGACATCATCAGAACAGGCATGGAAATAGAGAAACACAGGAAGGAATGGAAGGATCCCGCTAACGCAGCTAATGCACGGATTTGCTGCCAGACCAAATCTTGGCCATCTCCGGGAAGTCACTGGCGCACATCTCCATGCGGCGTCCGAGAAGCATCCATTCCTTGCGGTGCGTGCTGCTGTTACACTTCTTCGGCAAGTTCGGCACCAGGGAGCTCGACGGGCCTTGCATGGAAAGCTCAAGCGCATGGTCGAGCTTGTCCTCGTCGTCGGACTCCAAAGACTCTCTTTCAAGATCCTGTTCGGTCTCAGCGGCCGCAGGCTTTGACGTTGGCTCAGGCGGGAACGCCTTATCCTCAGACACGGAGAGAGTCGATGGGGTTGTTGGAGGCAGGGAGTTCTCCAGGGATCGTGGCTTCAAAGGCGTGATGCCTTCTGCAGCCCCCTCTGCAGGCAGCTTGGGTCCATTGATTTTTTTCTCAAGGCCTCGAAATGCATCCGCCAAACACATCACGATGGTCTTGATGTCAGAGTCAGCATGGAGCTGCGAAGCACTCCTGCTTAACCTCAGTTCTCGCGTGAGAAGGATCCATTAATAGTCATGAGGAGAAGCAGAACCTTGAATTGCACATGCTGAAGCTTGGGAGCCCATCCCAATCAGGAGCAGGAGCCCCAACTTGCAAAGCTGAGGCTGGCCGATCCTGGTAGGCCTGCCCGTCGCATTGATCAGCACCAAGGACCAATGTGGACAGAGACCTTATAAGTAGGGGTCACAAGTGGGAGGATTGGAAAATCATTGAATGGCTGCATGACAGACACAAATGCTGGAAAGCAGCTGGCAAGAAGGCAGTCGATCTGCGGGCCTGCGAGCCTTAGAACAGACAGCTGCAAGTTGCGCAGAACTGTAGGTATGGAAAATCGCGAGAAAAAGGCATTTCTCAGACGCACACCTCCTCCACAATCTTGTCTGCTGGGGTAGCAAGCAAAGGGGGCTGAGGCTGACCAGGCGGAACGACAGGAGACGCTGCTTCCTCTGTCATCGCATCTGCCTTCTTCGCGACCTTTGCCGGCTTTGGGTTCCCATTGTCAGAATCCTCAGGCTCAGGTGCATCCACCAGGGTGTCGGCCTCGACTGTGCAATCCTCCACTGGTTCTTCCTCTTCAGCACCCTCTGCATCATCATCACCTTCATGACCCTCCTCTTGATCAGCCGACTTGCCAGTCAAGCTAGGATCTTCCAAGATGGGGCCAGGGTGACGCTCCTCTGCAGCCTCGCGCTCGGTCCTGGCAGCTGCAGAGGCCTGGGAGGTAGGGCGCGGGCCAAGCATCTTGGTCAGAACAGCTTCCAACTCCGGCATCGTCATGTCGTGGTACTCCCCCGATTTCTTGCACAAGGCGAAGACCTCCTCCACGTTGCTCCAAGTCACGTCGACACCCAGGACCTCTTCGCGAAACCAACCAACTGACGAGAAGTCCTCGCAGCCCTTGGACTCATTGTAGAAAGGGGACTTCTTGGCCTTCTCCTTCCACTCAATGGCCTTGGCTTGGGAAACATTGGTCCTTCCTCGCAAGTGGCGGGGGGGAAGGTCCGTGCTGGACCCAGCAGCCTCAGCAGCGTGATCCTCCTCAGCCGTGCGCACCTTCTTGGCAGCGGGCTCCTGCTTGGGCTCCTCAAATTTGCGCGCTCTGGACTTCTTAGCAGGGGGCTGCTCGGGCTCTTCTGCCGCATCAACCTTTGGGGCTGGCTTGGACTTTGCCTTTGCAGCAGGCTTCTTGCGAGACTCTCCAGCACCGACTTCTTCTGCAGATGCCTTGGCCGGAGCGCTCTTCTTCGGAACCCGGTTGGCCGGAGTCAAGAGGCCTTTCGCTTGCAACTGCGCCACTACACCGTCAAGCCTCAGCTGCTGCTCCTGCGAGAGCTTCTTAGGAGCCATGGCTTCCCCAAAGCAAAGAGGCGCCTGGACCTACCAGCGTCGCACGGGATTGCAGGAAATCGCCTCAGCAGGCCAGTCCGCGCGACGTGAATTCACGTGAAAAAACGTGATTTCACAAGGCCGCCAATTCATGTTTGGGCCACGTGGGGCGTGAAAAAACGAGAAAACACGTGAATTCCTCATTGGGGATTGTCAGAGCAATAAAAAAGTGGCCCACGTGAATTCACGGGAATCACGAACTTTCACTGGTCGTTGGGGTCCTTCGCACGGCTTTTTCACGGATTTTCACACGCAACTTGGCGATGCAAGCTGCAAGCTCTTTAATGAGAGCAGAGCACATAATTTGCCTTTGGCCCTCGCTGAGCCTTTGAATTACAAGCAAAGCCCTGAGTTGGCAAATCCAACCC